TAATGTATATCGCTACATGGATGACTATATGCGGCTCATGGCCAAGCTTTTATGAAAATTAAACATGGTCTACGAGACTACGCATGGACCCTAGGTACTTAAAGTTATAATTGTTGGTGTTAATTCGATTAATAGGAAACATAAATTATCTGAACATTTTTGTTGTAATATTCATTTGTTATTCTTTACAATCGGGGAATTTTTTTACTCACAGTAAATGTTAAAAGTAATCTATTTAAACTATAGTAAACACGTTCCGGTAGTTTTGGTTCTTATACATAAGGTACTGTTAACTAATCTTACTATATATAATCCATGCAATTCACTTATTTTATAAATTAGTAGGTACATCAGGTATTAATAATTGATTATTAGGAAGGATTTAATTGAAAAAATTGACACACTACCATTGAAATTATCAAGATACTCTACAAGCTACGACAAAGAGGACTAGGATACAAATTGACATTAAAATAAACGTATCTATAATTAATAAGAAATAAGAAAATAACTTAACATAGCTAAAATTATTTGCTTATTCAATGTATTACATTAATTTAATGGTGAATGGATTTCTGAGATTTATTATTTATCTTTTACATTCTTGTCATTAATATACAGAAAAAGAGATGTTGCAATGAAGCTATTGCATATTATTGTACTTTTCTTCTTAATGTAGTTTATAATAATATTGATGCTAATGGACATTTGATGGTATTTTAGCACTAGCGGTTTTTGTGTTGTTTTATATTTTTTGATGTCAAACAATTAATTGGCTACCTCGGTTGCCACAAGACTAGAATACAAAAAAATCGCTAGTGTCAAAAGGTACTTATTTTTATTATTTGCGCAGACGCGATATTTTTTTATATTTACATTTACGGTTATTTAATAATTATGAACCAGTTATTAATTTCCATACAAAATAAACTTAATCAAAATTATTTTAGAATGCAAGCATTATGACATCACGGCAAATTTTATTAGTCTTATTATTCGAGACATAAATGTAAAAGTAACAATGATATAGGTGGATGATATTGTAGCAAATGAATGGTCTAAATTTGATGTTCTGTCTTAGGCTGCCTTAATTAAAAAACATATTAACTCCTTTCCATTACGCCAAATATTTATATCGTGCTTATATTTGTCTTACATTTCTAATCATATTCACGTACTAATACGAATCACTTAAGTGACCAATACTAGAGCTATCGTTATGATGTCCCTATTATTGTAACTAATAGCAACTGTTTTTGTGATTTCAAATCTTCATTTATTCACAGTGTTTTTTGGGCATCAATTTTACTGTTACAACAATGCGTACTATTCAATCGTTTACAATTAATTAATCGCCACATTCTTTATTTAAACACCTAATTGACATAACTGATGTTTTTTATACATATATTTTTTTATTTTTTTATATATAAATTCTAAATAATCATTAGGAAAATAACCAGGTTATCAATATAATACTGCATCGACGAAAGACAAAATAATGTTTCGCGATAATTTATTTCGTGGAAATTATTTTTTTTTGCCTATATAATTATAAATTTTACCTTCCCCAAAGAGGCGAAATGATTCGTTGTCATCTTCGTTATTATTGCGCTCGTTGTTTTAATGCCTTACAAACTACGTAAATAATTAAATAAAATTTTAGCTCCTCTCCTAATTAATAAGGATCCGGTAAGTCATAATTACTACGGAAATTTTATTATAAAATCAGATAATTAAATATACAACCAAAGATGTCTTAACAAATGTTGTAGATGATACTAACTCCAACTAACAATTTAAATTCAATTAAAAAAAAAAACAATTACCATCACGTAAATAATAATTATTATAAAAAATACATTTTGCAATAAAAATATCACCTTGCTAATGACCTTATGGGTTATACATAAATTACTGACATTAAACCAAGACCTACACTATCTTAACATTGCTTTGTTATTTGACATTATACTAGACCTAGAGTTTTATTGCTATAGGTATTATTATTGCTTGAATATTGCTAATTTGGACAATCTTATTTTAAATATATCACTGTATGTGTTAACGCTAATTGATTAAAGTTACATTCGAAATGTTGTTCATTGTACAATCATCTTTGTCATATCGAAGTAAGAATGTTCCATTCTATTTAATACGTTTCATTACTAATACAGTAATGTGAGACCGCCGCTGAGCTTCGCAGTTAAATAATTCAGGTATCAAAAAATGGAGCATGTAGTACCTTTCAGTTTTACAAATGTTTCGTTGAAATAAAATCATTCTGAGAAGCTAACGATTTGGCAGATCGATTATTTTATTTCTATAATGTTATGATTATTTATGTTTTTCTAACATTTTTTTTTATATTTTCAGTAAGTTTACCAAAGTTTCCGTCATCACACTAGAAACTTAACGTAATCCGTTTTTCATGCCTAAATCTTCGCACATTATATTATAATCGTGGGTTGTTGAAAGAAGGAGAAACGACAACGTTCAGTGTGTAGTGTGTAGACACAAACTTGTGGTGAAGAGACTGATCGCTTTACATTAATCACTAAGCCGCTACATTATTTCAATGTGTTTTATTTTAATTTAGCATTCATTGCGTTCCCACTTTACGACTTCGACTGTTTATTAGTAAACTCAAACTTCTACTTATAACTAAGATCTACTGAATACATCTACATCTACTAAGTTTGAGTAAACTTTATAGATAAGGCAATCTTGATGATTATTATTTCACATTCTTTTCTGTTTCATTTAAACGAACCGAAAGATACTTCGGAATGGAATGTCATGTTTATTGCATACCGTATTTACAGAGTTATCAATGAATGTATCCTATTCGTCTCATTTGGTGAGAAAAATAATTTATAATAATCTTAATATTAATAACTACTATAAATAGTCGTAATACTACCGCTATTATTGTAAAGAAGGAAATTTGGTACACGATGAAATATTTACATTAAAATATTGGTATATATTTTTGTATATAAATTGGTTTCAATATTAATTGTTCGCTAATACTAAATCTTAAATGTAGACTTTCTACAACTACAATAACGTTAGTATAAATATTTGAATAAAATATCTGGATTAAGATTTTTTTTAAAAGCCAATACTTTTAGCATAATCTACAAAGACAAAAGAGGTGACTAGATAATATATGAAGGTACAGGGTACTTTGAAGGATTACGTTAAAGAGTTTAAAAACTATTCTACTAAATTGGCTTAGAGTTTCAACAGAAACGAGTATACGAAGGAGATGAGATATAGAAGAAGTAACTTAAGAAGACAATAAGTAACATATAATAATAAAATTTTGAAAAACAATATCACATTTTTGTAATGTATTACAATATTCGATGTTAATTTCGATTTTTAGTTTTCGTATATAAAGTACATCAAAGCACCAAAAATATCTACCGAATATTTTTAAATAATGAATATAAACTAAGTTTCTATATTAATATTGCTTATACATTATCATTATATTGCTTTTGACGCGCCACCTTTGTCCGAAATCCTATAGTTAAGAAAAGTACCTATCTGACTATTAAGAAATATTAGTGAATAAAGTAGTGGCATTTCTGTAAAATTATCTAATACGGATCGCTTTGGTATGTTTGGAAAGAAATACGAACCTTTAAACAACTGCTACTTGGATGTTTGTTAAAAATACAGGAACTTTTCTTTTACAGGAATGTTATTTATAATTGACAGGATTAAATTAAAATCACGGGTAAACAATTGACTCGCAAGGCTTCTAATACTCTAATGTCAATCTCGGCTATGTAGAGAAAGTCTATGTGTGGTCACCAAACCTACTGTGCATCTAAAAGATGTATTTCTGTTCAACCCCTACGTAGCCGGCGATCCTCTTCTACGAGACCTACGGAAAACTACGGGGATAATATAAGTCTGCTGCGTCATTTCGACGGCGGTGCGCGACTTAATAACTACATTATTATTGCTTTTCGAATACCCATTTCTTCCGAGCACCTCGTGCTCCTCATTAACCTAACATTATTGCTATCTTAATCTAAACTAGTTTATTGCCAGTTACATTAGACTTGACCCTAATAACACACTCAATCTAAAGGCATGCTCGCTGAATGACGCGGCAAAGTCCGTCTCTGTCGCCGTCGTGTAACCTTCGCCGCCCGTCCATAACCATTTCTATCAATTTTATGAAATTTAAATTAATAATATCATTTTCAATACATATTATGTTTACCAGGTACAGCAAAATGAATTGCTTTGTAATGAATCAGACGTGCCAATATGAAGAAGGAGCGTGATGTACAAAATTTATTAATAAAGAGAAAATGTGGATGAAGTTTAGGGTATCGGAATAGGGGAGGGAAGTGAGGGGGGTGGGTGTGGAAAGGCGCAGATGGTGCGGCGCGTGGTCGCCGCTAAGGCACTGACGCGGGCGGCGTGCGAGCGACGGCTGTGAGGAGCTTCGGACGGAAAGTTTTGGCAAGTTCCTCACCGGGATGGACGACGCGGCGCCGACAACGGGTGCTCGGTCCACGTACTACGACGAGCTCGTACGCGAGACTCTGTTCATGTTTCACCACATTTTTCCTTACATTCTAAAACTCTCTAACCTACATCGCGGTTTGTAAAAATCACCTACAAAAGATATTAGTTTCATCCGTATTTTATTAATTCTATGTATATAGGGGTATATTTTATCGACAATTATATACATAATTCAATGTTAACGTTAACAGGACGTTTGTCGCTATCTATCGCCTATCACCGCATCGCGGTACTACGGGGTCGTACATGATTCGTTGTTTGCGAAACGTTGCTCGATTGCAACACGACACGGAGCGGCCGGTCGTGCGCCTCTACCTATTTTAGAATTTTGTATATTTATAATAATTACGCTAATAAACTAAATTCATAATCATTAATACTTTAGGTTAATGTGTAAATCTTACAACACGAATACGGTCCCTGGTTGCGTTCAGCTTTTCCGCGCGTTAGCCGATGGCTATGACGGAGGTGGTGATGGCGGGATCGGTGGTGGGTTCGGTGGTAGGTTCAGTGGTGGGAGGCGAGCCTGCAACAGACTCGGGCGGTGGTGACTCCCCGTCGCGCACACAGGCTGACTCCTGGTGCTTGTTGAGGTAACTCTTGAGGGCAAAAGTTTTGTGGCATCGCAAACATTCAAAGTTCTTATCGGCAGAGTGCGTTTGCATGTGTGCACGTAAATTCGAACGGTCTGCAAATGCCTTGCCGCAGTGTGCGCACCCATAAGGCTTCTCGCCGGTATGAGAACGGAGGTGACCTTGCAACAACCATGGCCTAGAAAATAATTTTCCGCAAACACCGCACACGTGTGAGAGTTGATGAGTAAGCACGTGCATAGCGAGCGCTGGCATCGATACGTAAGCCTTGCCGCACTCTCCGCAGCGCTTGGCTGCGACCGAATCAAGGCTACGATGAGTTTGCTTGTGTCTTGATAAGTTCGATGACGTGGCATAACGCTTGCCGCACTCGCTACAGGTGTATTTTGATTTTTGTTCAGGCTGTTGAGCACTTTCAACGGGAGCGTTCGCATAGTTTCGACGCTTAGATCGGCCGTCGCTTACGAAAAAAGCATCGTAGGTGTAAGCTACGGTCTCTTTGGGACGCTCTGTCGCCTCCTGCTGTGGTTCAGGTGGTGGTGGTGGCGGTTGCTCGGGAGGTGCTTGGGGTTCGATGCGCGGTGGAGTTGTAAGGAAAACGGCGTGCTGGCTCAAATCAAGGATGGCGTGGGCTGCATTGAGGTCCTCCTCCGCTCGATGAAGGTATGCGCGTTCGCCGAGACAGTAGGGGCGGTAAATGTCCTTCTTCTTCGGTGGTAGAGATAGAAGAGCGCCCGTGCTGGTATAGCACATAGAGTTGGATTTGCCGCTCGCCGGTGGCGGAGGAGGGGAGACAGGTGAAGACTGGAGTTGTACTTGGAGGAAAGGTGGATCTGTCGAGTCGGAGGAGAGGTGCAGAAGTGCGTAGGAGACAGGCTGAGGCGCCGGCTGAGAGGGGCCGGAGAGAGCCGGGCTCACCTCGCTCGGCAGCTGCGCGGTGAACTGCGTGGAAGGCTGCTCCTCAGTGTAGCCTGTACAAACAATACACATTATTAGACGACAACTACAAAATATGCTAATGAAATCATGTTGGGATTTTTACATACATACATTCCTGCACATTAATAATAATATTTTTAATCATCTAACAAAATAATGTTGTAATAATAAGAATATTTAAAAAAAATGACATGTACAAAGGATAAATTAATAAAGATCTCTCTCAGAAACCCTTGTAATAAAGGAAACACACAAAGAAATTCCAGCGTAGGTACGTATTAACAAGATAAGAAAAAAAAGAGATACTCAAATAGGGTAACAAATAAATATATAAAATTAGAAAAATTCGTAATATACATATGTAGATAAATATATTCATAAACACACACAATATACATATCAATTTCATGCCAAATAGTGTAAAAATGTATATAATTGTTATAAGATAATAGTGCGGGAAGACATTTCTTAAGTCGAAGTTTAAAGGAAAGTGCACTTGCAAATAGAAAATGGGAATGGGTACCAAAGTCCGCATCTCGGACTGAGAAAGATTTACGGATAAAATTATATAAAAGTAGGGGATATCTAGAAGATTTTATGCAACGTATGAGCGTTTAGTAAGGATTTTAGAGGAGCAAAATGTAAAATGCTCAAGTGAGTATGAGGCAGAAGAATGTTTGAATATATTGTACGTTAGCGTTAGAACACGCATATTCCGGGCGAAGCGGACTGGGAGCCACTTTAACTCACGACGCAATTCAAAAAATGTAGTCGTATTTACACAAGCCGAAGATAAAACGTATGTATAAATTCTGAAGCTGATCTAATTTATCAAGCGGCTCATCAGTGACATCTATGTAAGTAGCAAACATCACCGTAGTCGACTAAGGAAAGAAGAAGAGATTGTATAAGAATAATTTTTGTTTTGAAAGGAATTAAGTAAACAAAGGCAAACGTCTAAAAAAATGTAGGGTTATATAAAAATGGTCTACTTACTTAATTCACTTGAACTGTTAAAGACAAATGAAAAAGCATTATCAAACCTAAGTTTTTGATCCTATCTAGACATGGAATTCAAACGCCGTTGTAAACCATACAAGGCAAGACGTGAAAATTAATTTTATATTGCAATTTTTTTACTTCCAATTATTATTGTTAGAGATTTATTGGGGCTAACAAGTAGACTGCTATCATTTGCCCACTCATGTATAGAATTAAGCTCCTCATTAATAGTCTCGACGGCTGAGTTAACTTTAGATTGAGAGGGATGTCTGTAGAGCTGTAGATCATCTGCATACAGATTTTAGTGAGACTAAACAAAGGTATTAGAAAGGAATAGAAAATGTTAAGAAAGATTGTGCCTTGCTCCGTCATCCCGTCAGGATGTGTCCATCCAATCAGTGGAGCTCTCATCCTATTTCCGCGTCTGCCAACGACTAACCAGGAAAGATTTAAACCATGGAAAAGATTTCGAGAGAGGAGAGATTCCTAGTAAAATGTCAAAGTCAACCGATTATTATCTTTACCTCAAAAAAAAACAAAGTTATTTAAAGTTAGATGAATTTCCTATCAAACAAAAATAATGCATTGAAATAGAGAAATAGAAAAATAAAAACCGGAAAAGTTAAAACCGTGGCATCATTAACCGACAAGTGTGAAAAGGACGTTTGAAAATAATAGAGATGAAAGGTGTGTGCGGTTACCCGCATGTTAGAATTTAATACCTTTGTTGGAAACATAGTAAAGGTGTATAAAAAATGGTTTTGATTTTTCTGTACTATATAAATATTTTGTTTCATAAAAAGTACAAATGGAAACAAAAGTTTTGATACAAAGCCTTTATCGAGTCCGTAGGAAGTAAATTGAATAAAGTGCTCTAAACGTTAAATTTGTATATTTTGCTCATAACAATATCGACAAACTTATGTCAATAGAACAATGAGCAGGCCTTGAGGCCAGTTGTAAAGTTATTTTGGTTTGTTAATAACTTATGCAGGCAACCTGTGGCTTTTGTAGATCGACCTGTACGTACTATTTTGTAACGTATAATTTAATGTAGGCTTAAAATACGTATTTCAATTTTGTGGGGTGTTGGAAATTACAAAATTTATGGAAATTATGCGTTACTATTTGTTCATGACTCGTTATTGAAATATAGTAACGATTTTAGCAGATATTGTAGTTTAGATGTAGTTTTATTGAGCTATGATTTTTTTTTAATTATTTAACACATTACATTGCTATTTTTATTTCAGTACTGAAAAGTAAAGTGAATAAAAAAGTTTTTATATTGGAAACAATTTATTGTTCAAGTTTCGGGTACCAAAACAGATTTTATATAGTCAGAAAAATTAATATAACAAATGCTGTCATAATTAACTATTATGAATAAAGAATAAAAATATTCTTTGAAGAATATCATCTCTAGAATATATCTTAAAGAAAACTCATATGTAGGCCAATATGGTAAATGCTAAAAGAGATGACTCTATACGTTACGTAATATGACAAAACCGCTTTGTGGGCGAATTGGGTTCAGAGCAGAAACACACATGGAAATATATAAATAAACAGTGAAGCGGCGCAACATAAGCTTTGAGGATTGAAAGGCTTAACATTGGACAAGTGAAGTAAATGAAACTTGCGCCGAGACGGGATCAGCCTGCGAATACCGACTCGTACCTATCACATTAGGAGATATTATTATTACATTTGAGATACATTTAACAAAACCGCTGTTTTGATACCGGAACATGGTTACACATAAAATTATTACTTAAATTTTGAATATTTTTCTCATGATGAAGCTATCACACATTATTTGATCACTTTTTACTAAAAAAAACATAATTATTAATCAATAACATTAATTTTCAAAGACCTATATATATAAAAATAAGCGGTTGTTATGTTAAATTTTCCTTTAAAATTATCCATAGTGTCAGCAGCGACTATTTACTACTAACTTCAAACCTCTTAGACAGAATTTTGGGTTAATAATTTAAAATTTCTATTGATTAAAATTCAGAGTCGTAAAAAATTAGAAATTATTGATTCATTTTACTAAAATTTTGAATATAGCGACTTCAAATTGCAACGATCATTTTTATATTTATTAGAATAAAGAATTCAAGAGAATAATATTATAACTTTATTTCACGTGACGTTTCAAACTTAAATCAATACTCAACCGAGTTTTGTTTTTAAAGACACTAATACAGTGTTATTAAGCCGGAATCAACGCAGAAAGTTATAAAGAATTTATCAAATAGAATATTCTTGTAACTTTATTGGTTGTTCTTACTTGTGCAATCAATCAAGTTGTTATATGTACAAAACCTCTAACAACGCTCAATCTATCACAGCTCTACTACTCCTCTGTTATCCTGGTGATCTTACTTCCAACGTTATACACGGTTAAGAATGTTATCAGATATTCTAGGTTAAAGATTGAAGACAAAAGTAAAAAATACAGTTTTTGAAATGGAAAATCTTAATCTGTTTAAAATGTAACTAAGGGAGAAACCTGGTGTTATCTAATGCTTTTATCTTTATAAAGTATGTAAGTGATACTTTTGGCCACAGCATTATTTTTAGTTTGTAATACATCAGAATAATAAAACGATCCTATGTATTCTTTGAAACAGAATGTACATATATTTTATTTTTCTTTAGACATTCACGCTATGTGGTGAACAACATTTGCTTCATTTAAAATCAATATTGAATAATGTTGGCTAAATTCTTTTCAGGTAAAATATGTTAATAATTTAAAAATTTAAAATATTTTCACGAATTCTATGGAAAATACAACTCAAAAATGTAGAATAAACGTTTTAATAATATTTTAGGTTTAAAAAATATTGCTTAATGTTTTAAATAGTCGTTATCAATATATTTTTATTATTGAAAAGCAATGAAAGGCACAACCGGCCGGCATTTGGAGCGATATCCACCAAATTGAAGTAGCATCATTCAATAAAACTTGACTGCTGGCATAGAGTATCTACAGATACATATACTGACTATCACAGCTCGGTTTTAATAAATCGAATAGTAACATAAAATCAAGTTTCGCCACTCAATTTATTCAAGCGTCACACTAACAAGTTGCTGAATCGATTTTCCAACAAACAATCGTCAAATAGCCAGAGCAGCTCGTTTACAACAGCTCTGTTGTTTGTTTAATTTGTAAGGATCCTCGCAGCATCGTTTACTTTGATTCCGGGATCTTGTCGGTTTAAATCAAAAGGTTAATGTTAGAGGTGGTTTGATACTGTTTGAGCCGAAATCATGAATTTATATGGGGTTAGAACAAGGAAATGTTAAAGGTATTAAACTACTATAAACTTACTTATTCCGTCCCTACGTTAAAGTTACTTATTCTGTCCCATTGTAAATGTTTGTAACTTTATTTGATAAATTAAATGCGTAACTTTCATAAATACGTCCGCAAAGAAGATGGGAGAAGAGTAAGTTTATAAATTTATATGAAGAAGTTTCAGAATCTCAATTCCGCTAAGCCACTTTCTACAACGCAAAGTGAATGTCATGTAGAATTCTAAAGGATATTTAATGTATTTACATGGTTTAAAATATTACTACATAGCTACTTTTCTTACGTCACATTGTATCAAAAGGGGCTTAGGTGGATTAAGAGTTTCAATTCTGCTTATTCCCTTAAGCACGTAATATTTTATTTATTTTTGCTTCCTTTCGATTATTTTTAAAGAACAAATATGAGTATAATTTAATGATTGATTTTATTAAAAACTAAATAGCTCTTAGTGGAACAATAAACCTCCTGATTAATGATAAATTACTTACAAAACAAAACCACTACAGCTTACACGTTAACGCGAAATCCTGGTTTTCTGATTAAAATGTGAACACCGTATAATTTTATAGTAGTACACATGTTTCAATTTCCCTAGCATTCTGTGCTTAATAAATGGATGACTGGTTTCGCAAAATAATTGAGTCAGTTTGGTTGGGATGCTTTAATTGGTTTATGCGACCGTTTTTCACTAAT